GACAAAAGAAGGTTGATTTAAAATGTATTTAGTGAAAGTAATGATTTTATCTTTCTAAACTTTAGGTTGAATGCTTGCAACTGAGTTAAGTGTATTGTTTGGAAGTCTATAGGCAACCTTCTGTAAGCATGAAAGGTCCTCTAATGATGAAAGAGACTTGTTGAAATATAGTTTCCCATATATATTCTGTTTTAAAAATAGATGCAATTTTGTATACTTGTTACTTATAGTTTAAACAATTTTAACAAACACACCCACACAGGGAATTTTTAAGCATTAGAGGAAGCTAAATGTGGACACACAACAGAGAAAAAGAGCTGTGTGCCTTGGTATTACCAGGTTGAACCAACAGGGGAAGTAAAGAGTGAAAGGCAAGAAAGGCAGAGCCACAGGTGGCTCAAAGTGGTCTCCAGAAAATGCAGTCACCAAGAGGTGGAGTGGCTCAGAGGCAGAGGTCAGCCAGGTCAAAAAATGTAACAGGACGGTCAGATGAACTAGTCTTATTGATTAACGTAGTAGATCCTTTAATCTGCTGTCATGGTGGCATTGAAAACAAGTATATGAACTTGCAGCAATGGAAGGCAATACCATGGCAACCCACTGACACACCTGAAACTACCACTGAAATCAGACAAAGGGAAAGAGCGAGTGAGGGACGGAAAGAACACCTACTTAGAGGGGAGAGGCTGAATACTTAAACATTTAAAATGGTGTGGCATTTTTCCAAACAACATCCATTTGTGGTTTCCTAACTGGTGAAAGCAGATAAAGCTAAGTTGTAAATGAATTAGAAGTGCCAGTGATTCATCATCCACAGAAGCTGGAGAAACAGGAGATGGGGAAGAACTTACAGTAAACACTCTATATTCACATTAAAAGCAGTAAACAGAATAAACACTTGCTAAATGTATTTTTTTCTACAAACTCCAGACTTGGAATTTCGAGAACCACACCCAAGGTTGCCAAACCAATAACCAGGAGATAAACATTTTCCTGCTGTTTCCATAAACCAGCCTGTTCTGTTTAGAACCTTTTGGCAAATTTAACTCCCTGTTACGGCCCTAGCTGGGCCTCCTGATACTGCCCTTGTGTGGGCGTAGTGTTTTTCTCCACCTCCTCCTCCTCTGCTCCACCCCTCTGTCTCTCTCTTGCTCTTCTCTCTCCCCAGGACACAGCTGCTGCTCATTGGACTCATTTACCACCTGGGCCCAGTCAGCAATCACCTCTCTGAGGTCATATAAGCTGGGGATGAGCTGTGAGCAGGG